AAGCAATATTTTCAGTCAGTTTTCCATACTATCCATCCATTTTCTGAACCGCTTTATCCTCAAAAGGGTAGCGGGGCGTGCTGGAAGCTATCCCAGCCATCTTTGGGCAGTAGGTGGGGGACACCCTGAACTGGTTGCCAGCCAATCGCAGGGCACACAGAGACCAACAACCATCTGCGCTCACACTCACACCTCAGGACAATTTTGAGCGTTCAATCAGCCTGCCATGCATGTTTTCGGAATGTGGGAGGAAACCGGAGTACCCGGAGAAAACCCACACAGGCCCGGGGAGAACATGCAAACTCCACACAGGGAGGCCGGAGCCAGGATCGAACCCACAACCTCTGCACTGTGAGGTTGACGCGCTAACCACTGGACCACTGGGCTGCCCAGTTTTCTATATCACTTATCCAAAACACTATCATGTCAAAGATAACAGGTTATCATAAATTAGGATTATCTTCTCATAAACAGGCCATACTGGAATAATCTTTAAATTTGTCGAGGTGGGGCAGGCAGCATTTTTGTCTGGTGGTGTGTTCCTTCCGCAGACCAGCTGACAACAAGGTTGGTGATGGAGTACTGCCCCCACAAGGGAAATGTTCTGATGTTCATGGGCTGTCTGAAAACAAGTAACCACTTGCCTTATCGCAACATCCCACCTCCTGTCTTTAAGATAACAAATACACAACCTGGGTGGCCCATGATCCTTTTTTTTTTTTTTTTTTTTTTTTAAATTGGCGGGGGTATAACAAGCATGTTTCCTCTACTACAATATGACCCCGCATACTCGCGGTTCGGCACATGTGGATTTTGGTGTGTGTGTGTTGGGGGGGGGGGGCAGTTTTCCCTATTAGTGAAAAATTGTGGCTCCCTCCGTCACTTAAGTTGCCCTGCCGTGAACAGAACCACCCCTCAAATCAAATGATTTCAACCTGAGTCTTATAGGCGGGCGTCAAGTGTACTGCAAATGAGTATTATTGTGAATCGAACCAAAAATCTAGAAACAAAGTTACCCAGGCATCACGAAAGGAGGAAGAATTATCATGACACCATAAATGTCCATGGCTTTTATGGCTTCCATGTAGTCTCATGGGCCACCCTTTTACACCCACTCCAGTCTATTCAAATGAAATGTTTTGTACCAACGGACAGGCTTATCACTCATTATGCAGCTCATTCAAATTGTTTACACGTGAAATGATCACTCTTTCCATTTTAAAATCTTGGAAAGTTCTCCATGAAAGAGATAACCGATTAGCCCTGCAGTGAGGAAATAAAGAGAAAGACAAAGTGGTGGTAACGGTCCATTTTGGTGTCGTTTCCCAGGTATGTGAAACTGGCCCTAAGCTCTTTCCGAAGGCCCTCGTCCAGATGAGACTCTCACCGGCATTACATAACATCCTTGAGCCAACGTAAGCAGAAAAATATTCAAAATGTGGAGATCGAGAGAGAGCGAGAGAGAGAACAAGACACCCACACATTTGCAGAGAGAGAGAGAAAGAGAGGAAGAACAAGACACCCACACATTTGCACCGCCTGTGCTACTCAAACACAAAATCCACAGGAGGCCCGACATTGGCTCGTAGTGTACGCTTCCGGCTCTTTTCGTTGAAGCAAATAGGGGTCAGGGTTCAATGCAGAAAGTTGTCCCCTCCACCAAAGGAGGTTATGTTTGTTGCTTGGTCTATGAAAATGATTTTTTTTTTTTTAACTGAATGGTGGAGAGGTGAACAAGAGACAAGGACAAGTGTTGCTTCTCTTCCGGTAACCAACCGACAGTGTTGGCACTATTTAAAAAAAAAAAAAAAACATTCAAAAAGGTAAAGAGAAAATGAATTCCTTTTTTGATGAAGCACAATCATGAATTCGCTGGTTATTATCATATTTTTCTGAATTGCCATCACTCTTGCTTTTCACTGGAGGGATCACAACAAAGCCAAAAGAAGAAAATTAATCTCTTAAGAGTTAAGCCAGGACTTTTTTTAGTTCGGAAAAAGTTCCATTTCCAGGTGGATGATAATGGTCACACTTTTTAAAAGAAAAAAAACTGTTATACTGTTTTTTTCGCTCTCAAGATATCTGATAAATTGTATTAAGATTTAAATGTACATTTGTCACTGTTTTTTTCCAATTTATACTATTTAACGAAGAGGCCTAGTTTTTCTGAAAAGATTTTCTAATTTTATATCATCAAGGTGTGAAATTTTATCAGCACTGAGTAACTAAATTTTTTCAATTTAAAGAAATTATTTTAAATTATTTTTTTAATTAGTTATCAGTTAAAAAAAGTCTTAATAAAAGTCTTAATAAAGATAACTAAAAATTAAAATTAAAATTAGTCATCTTACTACACAAAAATGGTACATTGAATTCACTCATTTTATACCATGCACTAAATGAAATAATTTAAAACTAGATATATTCATTAAGTAGATATATATCTGCTTAAAAATGTTTCAAAATTCAACACACCTTTTTTTTTTTTTCTCAGTGTAGAGAGTGCTCATTTTAGTTCAGAATGGGGAAATGCGATTTGACTGCTGCTCAGTGCAGGGGCGTATCTATTCTAGTGAGACAAAGGATGGCAGAGAACCCCCAAATCCTGAAAAATCCCAAACTATTTGCCTTGTCATCTTTAACAGTTCAGTTCAGGGTCATTCAGGTTGCCCAAAGTCAACTGGAATGGGCTCCAGCTCATCAGTGACCCCCGTGAGGATAAGCGGTAAAGAAAGTGGACGGATCAATTTTTTCTCTTATTTATCTAGATTTATTTATTTATTTTTTTTAATCAAGGGATGAACTTATGAGTGTTTGAATTTTTCTTTGTGTACCTGTATATATGATTCCAATACCATAATGGCAGCAGAAGCATGTTCAAAGACATTGGTGGCGACTGGACATAAACTTGTGAGTCCTGTAACGTCTGTTTGCCGGTGTGTCGCTATCAAGTGCAATTAGGAAAGCCTCTCCACTCTACCGCAAGGCCTTTGCTATTGCAGTTTCCCTGGGAGACTTCTCCCTCGCCCACTGTGTCATTATTACCTAATCTGCCTTCAGATGCACTAAGGGCCACGGAATGTTGTTTGAGTGGAGGCACGCACTCAAAACAAATCAATTATTTACACAGCACAAAAGATATCATGTTTGCCATTGCGTCAATTTCTTGTCGAGTGTATCATGTTTATTCTTTGGCCTTTTTTTTTTTTTTTTTTTGTGATTCCACTCCCCAAAAGACACTCGTGGTGGCAAAGATGAAAATTTGGCAATAGCCATAACACAAACGAACTGGACATTGCAATGCCGAAAAGTGGCCCTAGTACAACAGCTGAAATTTATTTGGGGTTCAATCAGAGGCACTTGAAATGGTGGCAGGTGTGTTCTGATTTAATCTAGCATGAAATTGAATGTGATCGCTTAATTCTGAACAGAAATTCCCAGTTAAAAGGATGCGCACACCAATGCAACTATGACCCTTGTTGTAGTATCAAAATGCCAACTAGTAATTTTGCCTCACTAGCAACATGTAGCTGTCCTCCAGGCATTTCTTATTTTATATCCTTGATATCACGTTTAAGGTCCATGGACTAGTATCTTTGTTCTCACTAGTAGGACAACTTTACATCAACAGTAGTGAAAAAAAAACATAACTAGTAAGACGGAGTCCTTCAACCAGTGAAATCTAGACCTTACTGGAAATGGATATAAAATAAATGTTCATACCCACTCCATGTTATGTCTATCATTGCCTGTATTGCAGATCTAAGGATGTGAAAGAGATGTGAAATCATGCGCTTGCGAGAGAGGCATTTGGCAACCGACATGTTATCACAGCAGAAATCACATGAGGAAGGAAGGTAGCAGTTCAGTTTTAAACTGCACCATCTTTACATACTCTCACCGGACACAACATTAGGTACACCTGCACAAGACTAGAAAACGGCGCACTGCAGCAAAGTGGAGACTGTGGAGTGCGTGTACAGTACTGCAACAGCAAAACGGTTAGCGTGTGCCTATTTTGTCTTTTGTAGCTGCACATTCTGAAATGTTACAATGATGTGGTGATTTTACTTGAGATTAGACTGAGAGAAGCAAGAAACCGGAGCACTGCAGCAGAGTGTAGACTGTGGAGACAACATGGTAAAATGTTGACATGCGTGTGGGGACACACCCCCCCCCCCGGGGACACCCCCCCCGGGGACACCCCCCCATGATCATTTTTAACAGTGACACTGAGGTGGTGCTCAAGAGAAAAGTGAGGGAACATTGCAGCCAAGTGGAGACTGTGGACTATGATATTGCAGCATACAAAGTTATTGGTAGCATGTGTGAGGGCAGTGCGAAACAGGAACTTTGCAGCCAAGTGGAGACTGGGAAGTATGATACTGCAGGGTACAAAATTACGTGATTTTTTTTCTTAATTCCTTACTGTGTAGGATCAAGTTAGAAAGATGTCAGAATCTTATTTCAGACAAAACTGAGGACAGACAGAAAAACAAGAGTGATGCGGCCAAGTGGAGACTATGGAGTACAACAGAATAAACTAACATTAGTATGTTTTGGGTCATTTCCAGCAATGCCTTCTCAAATGTTCACTGATGAAGAACTACGTTTAAAATGATTTGTTCCCTTATTTTTCCCAAACTGCCGCATCTCTCCGAATATTATACAACAATAATTAGAATCACTCAGCACCTGTCAGTCAGTTAGACACGTACAGCGACAACCACCGAGAACGTCGATCAAGTGGAAATTCCCCTTTCACTCGTTCAACAACCACAGCAGCCTTTCGTCGCGATTGTTGTCGTTAAGATAGAAAACGATGCCTTTGAAAGTTCACCTTTTTCAATTAAATCACTTTCAATTGACTAAAGCGACTCGCGTTTGCGTATATGTGTGCAACCTTGACGTAACATCAACATAAAAAGCAAACGGAAAAAAAACAAGTGAAGCAGAACGCATACATCAAAATTCCACAAAAAAAAAGTTTGGGGTACTACCTTGTGTTCCACCATCACCAACGTGTCCCGCCAACGAATGCTCCCGAAGTGAACGCGGAAGGTGGTGCCATCGTCCGGGTCAAGAGTAGCGAGTATACGGTGTCCTCCTCCGGATACGCGTTTGTGTGCGCGTGGGTAAATTTGTGTGAGCTTGTATACGTGCGTGCGTGCGTGCGTGCCTGTGAATGACAGAAGCTCCCCCGGACTTACCGACGCGCGCTGCAGCTTTGAGAGTCCAAAGACCCGCCCCCTCACCCTTGTCTGTCAAACATAACCCCGCCCACTCCAAAAACAAAACAGTTGTAAATGGGGAAAATTGTCGTTTTGTCTAAAAATATCTGATGTACTTGATAAGCCTTTTGGATTTTTTTGTTACATGTTTTGACTTTCCGTGTTTTAATATTGGTTACATTCTTATTGTGTGGATTTTCCAGGTTGTGCTTACTGAGTTTTCAGCTTTTAGTGGCATTTAAATTGGTTTAATGGTTTATTAACCCTTGTATTGTGGCAGCATGGTGTAATGGTTGCGACACAGTGTATCTCCCTCACAGTGAGAGTTTGAATCTGTGGCTTCCCCTCACATTCCAGCAATATACATGTTAGGTTTATATTGAATACCCTAAATTGTTAATCGATATGAATGTATGTGCTTGTCGAGATAGATAGATCCGTACTGCCTATCCTCAAGAGGGTCGCGGGCGTGCTGGAGCCTATTCCAGTCCTCTACGGCCAGTTGGAGGGGTAAACCCTGAACTGGTTGCTAGCCAATTGCACACATAGACGAACAACTATGCATACACACAAACAATCACACTGAGGGACAATTTAGTGTTCAAATAACTGACCAGGCATCTTTTTGAATGTGGGAGGAAACCAGCGTACCCAGAGAAAACACTCACAAGCACAGCACATACATACGTGAGTACATATAGTGTATATATGAAAATTAGGAAATCAAATTTAAAATATCTAAAATAAAGGGTAGAAAACATGTATTGGCAATACTGTTTGTTGTTGTTGTTGTTTGTTTTTATTGCATGAAATTGGTGAAAAGCAGCAAAGACGATACAGTCGATACAGTTGGGAACCTTCCTCGACGACCTGGAAGGTTTGTGTTCGCTTCGGGACATTCACACTTTACACGGCCAACCCTTTCAACTTTATCCCGTACTCCTATTGTGAACATAATCATATCGTCATGTCCTCATATACCACAACACAAGTGCTTAGGTACTGCATTTAAATCTAGTATTGTATTAAAAATGGCTGCCAAGATTTTCTAAAATGTAAAATACAGACGTCTGTATTTGCTGGCTGTAATGTGGTTATAAGGAATAACAACTGGATATTTCTCATTGTTGATAGTTAATAGTAGGTTGCAGATATTGTGTCGAACATTTAAATGCAGTACGAGGCCAAAGGGTTGTGGTTTCACAGTGGGGTACTAGCACCACCTACAGGTTACACGTTGTACTGCAATGACAAAAGACAACTGAATTGGGGGCTGTCTTAAACTGTTTTTCCCAAATTTGAGGGGGGTATTGAGGTATTTTAATGATCATCCAAACACATTTTCGTGGCAAAAGTTGTCACAGTTGTAGTAAATTATTGAACGTTTGAGAAAATTTTCCTTTCGATTCACACAACAAAATGTAACCTCCCTTTTTTCACCCAAGTAGACCAGCCACATTAAAATCAATAAATCAAAAAAAAATATATATATATATCATGACTCGTAAAATGGTCTGTCACACTTGTCAACTTGGTCACAACTGCCAATAATAATTAGGAAGAAAAAAATATTTGTTGTCATTGTACCTGATTAAACCTTCCCCACATCGCAGCATCTAAACATATAGCCTCCTCAAAGGGCTCATATTGTATATATTTATCCATATATCCATATACTATAGCCATATAATCCATAAAAAAAATAAATACATTTAACAAATACACAAGTTTGTCGCCACAGTTGTATCGCTAACACATTTTTAATGTATATAGATCTCAATAAAATTGTGTAAATTCCGCTTAAACTCCACCCTATAGGGCAGGGTTTCCCGAACGGTGTAGTCAGGGGGCAGGCGTGAAATCGGTGTTTAATTGATCGTCCATTTTTATTTATTGTTTAGTATTTTTAGTTTATGTACAGCAGGTGTTGCATTTTCAGTAGGTTTGTGTGGAAAAAGTTGGGGAAACCCTGACATATACGGACACGTGCAAATACCAAAAAAGGTTAAACACGGACAGTAAAAAGAAGGATGCTGATGATGATGATGATTGGTCATGTTGGCATGGCAACGAGACACCCGTGAAAGAAAAAAAAAAGTTGTGGGTGAATTTTTTTTGTAAAAAGATCATCCTATGAAACAGTTTGTTATTTTTTTCTTTTTAGTATTTTTTTTCCTACAAACTGTCCTATGACCTGTTCAGACATAACAACAAAAATTATCCCCCCCAAAAAAATCATGCATAAGTTACACCTCAATGCTGTCATTTAAAAAAGACAATATTTTTTTTTGTACATTTGAAGCCGTTTCCACTATTTTTTTTCCTTTTTATAGAAACTTTTTTCCCCAACAGCAGAAGTCTGTGGTGTATTGCTCCAAAAGAGAAGATTCCTCTCCTGTACATCAGGAGGCGCTAGAGGCAAAAAAGAACAATAGAGTGCTGGCTCGCAGAGAGAAAACTGCTCGTTCTTCTCCTTTTTTTTTCCTCCTTTAAAGAGTCATGGCGGGTGGGGTGACAAAGGCTACTTCCCTATCTGCAGAGCTCCTCTGGTGCAGAGTCCCGCAGATTTTTCCTCTTTTTACCGTTGCCCTGGTGGTGTGGCCGGTTACTTGGTTGACTTTTGCTGTTTCCGGAGGAGCGAGGGGAGCTCTGCTGGGCGCCCTTGTGATGAGAGCGGGTCTGAAAGGTAGACGCAGGGAGAAAGGGTGTATGTCGATTACCTGGAGGCACTGATTCAATCACAATTATTTAACACTGTATCAGGGGAGGGCGGCACAGTGGTTGACTGGTTAGCACGTCCGCCTCACAGCACAGGACGTGAGTCCGTATCCGTCTCCAGCTAAACTGTGTGGAGTTTGCATGTTTCCCCCTGTGCCTGCGTGGGTTTTTTTCCCGGGTATTCCGGTTCGGTTTCCTCCCACATTCCAAAAACATGCACGGTAGCTTAATTGAACACTCTAAATTGTTCGTAGGTGTGACTGAGTGTGAATGGTTGTGCGTCTATGTGTGCCCTGGCAAGGATTTCAGGGTGTACCATGCCTACCGCCCAATGACAGCTTGCCTATCGATAGGCTCCAACACACCCGCGACCTGAGTGAGGGTCAGCAGTTCATACAATGGATGGATGTATTAGTGGAGCACAGTGACCTAGCAGTTAGCATCGTGGCCGCGCAATTGAGAGGTTCTGGTTCAAAAATAAACATTCTGGGTTCATTGAAGACTAGTCTGTATTGTCTGGAGGTGCAAATTGAAATGTGGTATTTATTTGTTTGTTCAGGGTTGGATCTGCCAACTCTGCTCAATACTAATAATAAAACTCTTATTTCCGCCACTCAGAAAAATGTTTGGCCACTGTCCCAAGTTCACCGCACAGACATTTGTTGCAGAGGCACACACTCAGTCAATCAGATATGGTTGTCATCGAGGAATTCAGAAAAAGTAAAAAGATGCACATGGTGCGGGGTCGCTTTCAACAACAACACCAACAACAAAAAAGGACAAAAGTAACGTTTTATTACTGCAAACCAATTACCTAAATATTCGATGGAATAATTGACAAGATAATCGATTTAAAAAAGGTTACTTAGCGTCCGCTGTATTGCCTTGTGAATGATTGGCAACCAATCGATGGGGAAGAGGTCTCGCCACAAACGTTAGCTTTGAACCTAGTGTATGTATTTTTGAAAAAAAAAAAAAATTTGAGCGTTTCGTGAATGTAGCGTACTAGAGACCATCGCCAAAATCCACACAGGAAGGCCAGAGCAGAGATTTGAAGGCAGAACCCCTCGACTGTGAGTCAGACACACAAACCACTAACACACCATGCCTACTTTGTGATTAAAAGTTGAACAACTTGAGTGTTCTTTCAGGTCAATGTTGCTGCATAAACGACATCATGTTAGCGGAGCACACCTTTCCTCCCTTGTTGCCTGCTGCTGGAGTGCTGGTCGTGCGGTTTTGCGTCCGGTGATTGGTCACCACGGCTGACTTTTCTCTGTGAGCGCTGGCAGCTCGACCAGACTGCTGCTTGGCCGTCTTGCATGGTGTGCCGTCCGAGTCCTGGGAAAAAAAAAACACACGATGACAATGAGGACTCCGCTGTACAACTCCGAAAATAACGTACAGTAGCCTAAGATCTTCCATTCAGACGTTAACCAATTGAGTATTTAACTTGAGATCTTAAAGAAAGCTGCTCATCAACCACAGCTGCGGATTGCGCTGGCAAAAATCGGGCAACTTGATCATCATGGCATGCATGCTAGCACTGACATTAGTTGCTCTGTGTAGGCACCACGTGAACGTTGGTGTCACGGTCGCATTCCGATATTATTGCAGATTCACCAATTGTGGAGATAAGACGACACAAGAAGACGAAAGTGAGTTATGTCTCTTTACTCTCCACAACAAAACTGACAGCTTTCACAGGAAGCAGCCAACCACTCACTTTGAGCCCGCTGACATGTATGACTTCCTGAATGGTACAAGTCTGGTGTATGTCTCTCTTCTGGGTCACCAAAATAACTTTTTTTTTTGTTTTACTTGCACCATTTTTTGCCTTAAAACAATAAATGATGTTTGTTTTCACCTTCAGGCCAACCCTTTTTTTTTTTAAATTCCAGGAAAAACAAAACATAATAACAATGTATATTTTGTAAGGTCACAAAAGAATGATGAAAACAAACAAAATCATTCAATAAATAAATACTTTCCTGTTGTCGCCATGTTTGGGTTCATATCATTTTATTTACATGTCATTTGTTTGTTGTCATCAAAATGTATTTTTTGTTTAAAAAATACATTTTTTTTTTAAAGCAGTTTTTTTTCCAACTTTAAGGCCTTTGTTGTATTTCCCCCCCACCCCCATTTTTTACATTGTTGAAAACTACAAGCATGTTTAAAAAGATCAAGGATTTTCTTTTCATTTCCATTAGATATGAAGAGAAAAATCTTTAGCGATGTTTGCAAAAGAGTTTTGAGGGTGTCCCCACTGCACTTGCATGAAACAAGAACATGAGGTTCAAGATGAAGGACTAACCCCGTCACTGGAGCTGGAGGATGTGGTGGAGGGCGAAAGCGGGGACAAGGACGGCGACGAGCGCAGGGAAGGAGACGGCGACGAAGAAGAGTTGGACGATGAGGTTTTGCTCCTCGTGGGCAGGATCACTACCACGTCGTCCTCCTCGTCGTCCTCCTCGTCTGGAACATTGTTGTTGCACTGGTCCAGCTGTTGGGACTCGAACAGTGTCACGTCATTTCCTGAAATAAGCACCAAAGGGATTCATGAGCCAAGATTTCAGGCTTTAGAGGCAAATTTAAAGCTTGCAGTATGTTTTTTTTTTTTGGGCCTCCCACTTATTCTTATAGCATAAAATTAAATGTGACCTGCATCAAAAGTTGATGAGAAAATCTGCAAAATCTGTAAGACGGTGCAAAAATGCTTCAGGTTCAAAATACAAATGTAACTAAAGTTGAATGTTACGAGATATCACAGGTTTTATTTGAAACACTTACATGACGCTCCTAGTGCAGACACTAGTCACAAAAAGGCTTTCAAGCGAAATTTCAAAATGAGCCTAGAAAGCATGACATTTACAGGTGAACTTCAGTTGACCTCTAAACTTTTGAACATCCAACTGTTCAGTCACAGGAATATTTGCACATCTTCTTCTCTAAGGAGCTGAACGGCAAAATTCACAACAGGTGTAGGACTGTTTAAATATGAAATTTTAATTGATACAGGAAATGTATTGACGGTCTGCTCCCATCTGCCTTCGATTTTTCTCTCTGTGGCCCTCAGTGAAAAAATGTTTGGATATCCCTCGTTGAGTGTGAGTGTGAGTGAAGTTTTGTTTTGGGTGACGTACGGTTAAGCGGCAGATCCTTCTGGGACGAGCTCCCCCAGTTCTTTCGGATCCACTCCCTGTACTCGTCCACTTCCTGAGTCACGCGGATGATTCGGCCAAGTATGCTGCGAGTAAGGAACAACAGTGTTGACACAGCAGAACGCCACAGATGAGCTCGCACAACGGAATGGGAAGTATTTAAAGTCTCATTACAAGAAACGCAGGCAGTAAGAATGTAAATTCCTCGTGCCTTCAAAACAAGCTACCGAATAAATGAGGCTGGCTATTTGCCATGAACAATGAGATGCGCTTACCTCTCTGTGTCATTGTTGGGGTAGTATTTGGCGATGGGTGACACGGCGTGGCTGAGCACCACGTAGGCGTAGTCAAACGCTTGCTTCACCTGCATGGCACCGTAGGAGCTGCGTCCAACGTCGTTGTCTGCGAGAATAACAAGAACATAGTTGAGAAGACGGGAAGCTGCAGCCAACCGGAAACTGTGGAGTTCAATACTGCAGCGTCCATAGGTAAAGGTAATGTTAGCACACGTATTTCGTTTTTGTCATTTCTAGACGCTTATCCTAAAATGATAAACTATATTGAATTTAGAACTTCATTCTAGAGGTGACTGAGCGGCACGAGAAACATGACCGCTGCAGCAAAGTGGAGACTGGTGCAAAAGAATGTATGTAGCGTGTTAATAAATAAATTCCCACCTGGCTGTAGAGGGTCCTCGATGTAGAGCATGGAAGGCCTGTAGCCGTCCATCATGTTCTGAACCTCGTCTTTGGCCACGTAGCAGCCGCCGTCTTTTATACGGATGCCAGTTTTTAAGTAGTTAAAATGGCGTCCGTAGAGCTCAAAGAACTCGATGAGCAGCACGCCGAAGTTGATGTTGGGGCTGCAAACGTCCTCCCTGTAGTGGAGCTAGTGGAGGGAACAAAAATAAGAACAATGTCCAGAATTGTAAATGGTGGCCCTGGTGGATTAGTACAGCAACTCTCAAACTTCTGGTTTGTGAAGCATCACTTAAGGGGCTACAAAATAATTTTTGACGCATCATTTATAAAATTGCATAGAAACACACGCAGACCCAGAATTTCTCTTCACATTGTTGACTTTGGGCCACTTAAAAGCTCTGATGTGAATGTGACAAATTACAAAAAATAACCAGCTCTACATACGTGTGGCATAGGCAATTATAAACCTTTTTTGGAGGGGGGCGGGGGTCAGCTACTTGCAGTTTTTCACTAATGGTGGCAGGGTTTGTTCCTATACCCTATAACGGGACAATGTTTGAAGAAACAAAATGTTAAATAACAATAAAATAGTGTACCAGTATCGTAAATACTTTAGAAAAGAATGTTTCAGCCAGTCAGGGGCACATGTGCATATAATCAGAATGGTGTCTGTCTCCCCCAATTTGAGCCAGGAAAAACCCGGTATAATTGGCTTTCAAATAATGACTTGGCCCTTGAAAAACAAAAATAACATTCCCAGTGTACCCAGAAAGTTTAAGAAACACTGTTTTAGTGTGTTTGGAGCATGAACACACCTGCAGGAAGCTGACGGCCATGAGGAAGAGACTGTAGGATCCTATTCCGCCGGTGAAAACCTCATTGAGGTCCCTCTGCAGGAGGAACTGCTTGAGCACCAAGACCAGGTAAGGCAGCACGGGGTATTTCTACACACCAGGAATAGCATGTTGGCATATCTCGGTGGCCTCAAAGCGAAGGCTTCTTGAAGCAACAGTACCTCTTTGAATTCTTTGATGAGGCATGCCGCTTTGACGCCGCTCTTCACATTGAAGCTGATGTCCACTTTGACGTCCGTGTAGTAGTCTGTCAGCTTGATGATGGGTACCTGGGAAGACAGGACACCAATGACAACGAGAACTCAATTGTAATATCCTACTTTTTTCCCCCCATCTCTTTGAAACTCTTTTTTTAACGCGACACGGTTTCGAAGGTATTTGCCGACTGCCAAAATAAAGTACTGGAAGATAAAGAAGTAGTCATGGCAACGTGTAATATACAGTTGAGTATTACACATTTGTTGCCATGACTGCTACCACCACTTTATACTTCTACTTCGATTTCTTCTTAATTTCTACTTTATTTTGGCAGTTGGCAAATACTTTGCATACATTTGAAAGGCAAAACGACCGAGGAGGATTCCACCTTTGGCCACAATGCAACACAGGATTCTAGTTGAGGGCAGCCATTTTAAATTAGAAAGAACTAAAATATTTCCATAGTTTGAAGTGGAAGTTTCGAACCCAACCGCACTTTCGTGGCTGTTAACACGATTAGAGAATGGGGATTTTGGGTGCGAGTCCGAGCGCTGTTGTTCTTGGTCAAATTAATTTCCCCAAAAATGCAACATGTTTTTTTTTCTTCGTCATGATGCATTTTTTGACTGGTGCGACCGGCGGAGCAACTTAGTCTGGAAAAATAAGATATTTGACAAAGTTGGTTCACAGCTGCACATCAATATGCAACTGTTCATTTCTATAAATCTTTACAAGAGTTCAAGAGTTTTTCAAATAACCACTTCTACAACATTCCTAGGCAATTACAATGTCCCATCACGAGTGAGCTATTTTTAGAAGAGGCCTGCAGGCAACTCATGTGGTTCCTGGGGGCGACCTGGTTTGATATTTTAACCGCAATTGTTTGTTTATTCATCAATGGTGGACAATTATGATGTACTATTTCAGATAATGAGACAATGAAAGCTTACTAAGAACAACAGAGGGGGAAAAACATCTGTTGCAATAGAAAGGGAAAAACAAAAACACTGTCACCCGCGTTCACCTTACTCGTTCCTTGTCCAAGGAAGGAAAACCGAGCACTTGTAAAATACAAGGATGGAATGTTCTGAAAGTGGGGCAAGCAAGGCAACGCCATCACAGCACTTATTAGCCTGGGAGATCATTCCTTGGGGTTTCCCTGTCTGACAACTTTTCGCTTTTATTTCGAAAAGTGAAGACAATGTGTACTGAGAGTATGTTCACGCTCACTGTGGCTTTGTCCAGAACTTTGATCGAGTTCTTGTCGGCCACGTTCCTCTTTCGCAGAGCCTCTTCCAGTGTCCACAGGGGGAGTGTCTCCCACTTTCCAAATACCACCAAGTCGATGTCACTGTGGAGGCCACAAAAGAAAAAAAAAAAAAACACACTCAGAACTTAGGCAAGCAAACAGATTCCATGAATTTTGGCGTTTTATTTTTTGTTTTTGAAATTTGATGATGTCAGAACCAGAGATTACCATTGATGAGAAAAGAAGAAAAATGTGGTAAATGCAACACATGTAAGGCAACTTCTCTGTATCGTTTTACCGGGAATTTACTGACCAAACTGCAGATGGGCAGAGGTGTGCATTAGGGGACGCCTTGTACAAATATATTGTTAATGGTACAGGACAATTCGTGTCAGGTGAAAAAGGAGTTTAATAAACAACAAAAACAAAAAGAGACTGAAAGGAAAGAAATGCAGCAAAACCGGGCGGAATGATTATCTCGGGCCTGAACACAACACGAGGGAGTAACTACATTGTCAGAGTCACGTGGAACGCTAACTGCCATTAAAGGCGTCGTCTCCACTGAGATAGATCAAACAAACAAATTGTGAAATAAAAACAAGAGGTACACACATCTCTGTTCACTTCTTTTTATACTTGTAGGACAGCTACGAATATAAAAAGGCAGGCAAACTACTTTAAGGTTGAGAGTGTACTTGATTAGTTTTACATTGTTTTGTTCATTTCATGCGTTACAGGCTCGGCACTTGTTTGACAAAACATGCATTATTAACGGTATAGTTGAATATATGTCGAGTGAAAATCTAAATTAGAAAAGCTATTGGTGAAAATGCAGCAATGCTTGGCAGATTACATAAAATACAATAACACCCCATTCAACCTGAGAGACTGTTTGGGTACCTCAGTAGGTGCTGCTAGTTGGTTAGCAACATACTTCAAAGGCTTTAACGTACTGTATACTAGCGTGAATTAAGTGAAAAGGTTAATGCCACTAGTGGTATTTGTCCTCATTTGACTATTTGTGCCAACAAAAACAAAACAAAACGTCCTGTGCATTTATTTAATAATTGTTTACTGATCCCGACAAGTGTTAGTGGCTCACCTTGTTGGCAAATAGAGACCCGTGCTGAAGCTTCCAAATACCTGCACCTATAAGGAACAAATATAATTGCACCACATTCATTACACAACAGAAGCAAGCATGCAAATACAGCGAAACATCGGTTACAATTACGGACTAATGGTAGTTGGCGAGGACAGGACAGCTGGAAATAAAAGAGCGATAAAAGAGTTTATTCCACCACCCCCCCAAACTTTTTTTTTTTTTTTTTAAACGCAAATGGCGTTCTCCAAACTCCCATGAAGCATTCCACAGGTGTGGTGCAAACATTGTTTTTGTTTTGTTTTTTTGTACAGTTCATCAGGTTCCACCCACCCCAATTTCCAGCTAGTTCCAATGAGGAGCATGTCGTCGAGCAAATCAGAAGTGACAATAAAGACAAAAATAGTACTTAAACCCAATGATCTCGTCCAACCTTCCACCTTTTAAACCTCCTGTTGAGCAACTCGCGCTGCTTGCTGAACACAAATAGATTTAAGCCCTCTCTTAAACCCCGAGAATAAAAATGTAGTGTCTGTGTGTGCACGGACGTGGCTAAGCCGATTGCAGAACTGTGTTTCTGAATGAACTCTCGCTGACCAGTACCCGTCCGCAGCCTGTGCACGGCGATGCCTCACTGGCTAGTGTTGTGTGGGGCGTGTGTAGAGGACAGGGGGTGCGCCAACTCAATGGGAGTGCAGAACGGGGTGTGTGACGTCTGAATTTTGCAATAAAACGTTTTTCTGCTTTTTTTTTCCCTTCCACTTAGGAGTGCTCTAGTTTTCTTTCTTCAATGTTTCCATTGTATGAAAATGATTCACTGACAATTTAAGAGCTGTGTTTTGTTACTGCACAAAGGGGAATTTTCTGACTGTATATTTAAATGAAATCTGTTGACATTACTATTTCGTGCTGCAGCACTGACAGCTTACAAATACATTGCATTTGTTTACTTGGTTCGAACCACTGCTCCACTCAAACGATAGCACAAATGTATCCCGGTATTTATTATGATTCAGTTCGGGTTGGTCTGCAACAACTGTCAGAAAATCAGCAAAAATGTTGATGATTACATGTTTGCAAATGTCTTAGGGGGGGGGGGGATAATCAATCTGCTTTCATGGAGTACCAGAGAAACCTGAGAATACATACTGGTGAGAGGCTGAAATTCAGAGGATTCGGACAATTTTAAGTTTAACAAGTATCTTCACAACAGGGGGCAAACTCAAGGCCCTGGGGCCACATCCAGCCCGCCACATCATTTTATGTGGCCCGCGAAGGCAAATCATGTGTGTCACCTTCCATTATCCTTCCTAAAATCTGGACCGAAATGTCAAATGCCCGCAACACAAATGAGCTTGACACCCCTGCTCCACACATAATTAATTGTTGATGAATAGTTTCACTTCTCCAATTGAGACGATTTGGAAGTGATACTCAAAATGGAGTAACTGTTGCAAAAATGTGTGCTTGGGACATCTGCAGCATCAAGAGCTAAGACAGAGCTCAGTTCTTTGTGATCATTTTTGTCATTTCTAGCTACGTATCGTCAAATGTTACATATATTGTCAGAACTTTATCGAAGGGAGACAGAGTTGAAATGCGTTGTACTCAAGCGGAGACTCTGGAGTAGCTATACCTCAGCGCTCGGCCAAAGGTTGTGGATGACGCCTTTAATTCTGTCCACAACCTCCAGCCTCATCTTCTCCTCTTCCGGCCGTGGCGAGATGTATGCGTAAAAGTCTTTGATCTCTTCATGTAACCTGAAGGGGGGGAAAAAAAACTGAAATTAAAAACTTGCAGCTATTAAAAGTCAAATATTACTATTAGTCGGCAATGAATAGTACATCGGAATCAAAAATTAGCATCGCAAACCCATCATGACAAGAAATCAAGCAATGAACATGTGCAGCCTGACAGCACATACCTCCGGTCAAAATTTTCCAGAAAATAAATCAAGAAAAATAAAAAATAAACGTAAGGTGCACACAGAGCTCAGATTTCAATCGGTCATAAACACAGGTACAAAAACTGTTCAACGGGTCACGTTCTGCTACTGCAGAAAAAGCCACAAACGCTCATATGGACTGACCTTTACTCATAATGTGGGAAGTTAATAATTCGTAAAAACAAAAGAGGAATGTGCACCCATGACAAAGGAGAACGTACGGCGCAAGCCTGCGGCTTAATGAGCAACCAGGCAACAATCAAAATGAGGAATCCCAGCTGCGGCCCATCAGCGGTGTCATGTGGCCGCAGTGCCGAGGGCACACGTCCTTGAGAACGGGTTACCCTGCCCGCATACGGCGACCTCTTTCTCTGACCACCTTTATCTGCGAAGGGGGGGGAAAAAAAAAAAAAAAAACGGAGCACGGCTGCAAAAACAGCCGCTGAAATACTGCTCCAAAAACTCACAAGAGCCATAAACAACCCAAGCTCGACTCATATCAGTGGATTGTGAACCAGTTTGAGAATGGTTTGGAGATCAAATAAGCTGGTTGGTTCCATTCAGATTCATCATCTAAGTATGTTTTCAACTAGGGCCACAACCAATGATTAGTTCAGTAACTGAAATAATCTGTCATTTATTTTGTCGATTTATTGGGCAAAAAAAAAAAAAAAATCCTTTCCATTACTTCATTCAAAACATGGCATTACTGTATTTCCAATTGACAGGAGAGAAAAGGCACAGTATTTAGGATTCAGTTCCAGGTTTGGTCTGTAACATTTCAGAAAATATTTATACATGTTGGCCATGCTTTGCCAAAGTAAAAAAAAAATGTTGTCAAATGGCTTATTTTGATTAAATACCAAGATAAATTAGCTTGGTTTCATGGAGGACCACAGGAATTTGAAATTTCAAGGTTTGGGACATTTTTCAGTGTCTCCCTGCAGCGTTTTAATCTTTTTAAATGGATTTTATATCACTGAAACGATCATTGTGTAGTACAAAATTGTGTCAAATGTTGCCCACTCTGCATCCTTTGCAGCCTGGTGATCCTGGAAGGGGGATTCTCCCATCTGCGGCCCCTTCTCAGGGTTTCTCTTTTTTTTTCCCCAGATGTTTTTTTTTGGGGGGGGGGGTCCTTTCCCTCCTGCGGGTTAAGGTGAGGGGATGTCGTGAACACTTGTCAACTGTGGGCATGTGAAGCCCCTTGAGATTGTTTGTAATTAAGGGCTATCGAAATAAATGTGACTTGACTTTTAAATTAAAAAAAGTTCTCTCAACAATGAATAGATTGTGAAAATAATGATCAATTATCCCTTTAGTTGTTGAGGAATCCTTGCACCTCTATTTTCAAAGCTTTGTTGGGTGTAGGTCAGGGAAAGTAAGTGAAGTGTGTCAATGACTGGTCTTCAAGTGTTCGACACCTCATCAGAATTCAAAGCGACGCCCATTATTGACATTCACTTCTTTGCAACTGAGGAGCCTGTTCAACTACATTGCTATTTATGAAATTGTTTTTGTGTGTGAGCCCTGATGAATTATGCCAAGACAAGTCAACAAATGTATATAATACTGTCCCCACACTGAGTTTCTCACCCACAATTTGGAATTAGGCAAGGTGTGCAATATTAATGAGAATACCATGCTCAGACTAGTGGGGTGGGGGAGACAGAGAATACATTAAATATAGTACAGACGATTTTTCAAACTTGACTTCCCCTTTAAGGAAGCGAAAAAAAAAAAGCTATCTTGTAGTTTTATGTCATATATGACAATATAAAACCAAAAACTGCCCATTTTGAATCGCTTTAACTATCACACGGAGATAGCCGATTAAGTTTGTTTGCTTTAAATCATCCAAAATAGCAAGCTGGGCAAAGCTCCAATGTAACGACTAATCCCTTTTATTTTTGTTTTCCTTCTCTCCCTTCCCTTGCGCAAAGTGCAGTATCCAGCCTCCCATCACAGGACCATTAGGTTTCATTTGACACTAAACGAAAGTCAATTTTCCACTCTGCGTGTTCACAACATGGCTCTGGAGCTTTTGGGGCCGAAATGAAACGGCAAAACATATTTTATATATGATGCTGGTTCAATGTCTTTGAAAAAAAAAAAAGATTGATCAATCGTTCGATCGATAGATGTTGGGGGGGGGCGGGGTGACTAATTAAGGCTTTTAGTAATCCAGCAAAGCATACTCTATTTTAAGTTTCAGTCATAAATTTCATTTCACGGTAAACGGGCCAGGCCACAGAAACTCTCCTCGCCCACACAATCTCCTTGGACTGAATTACAGTTCCTGTGGCCCCACGGCACCGTTTATCCTATTAATCCCCACTAGCCTGGATTATAGTAAGGTTATTTAATCTTTTGCAAAAAAAAAAAAAAAAAACCCAACAACAACAAAAACAGAGTGCTCCTGGGTGAAGGAAAACGAGTGTTTCCAAAACACCATTACGCTCCACTTGATTGCTGTGAATAGTAGCATTTCTCACCGAGTGCTAATTTTGCGAAAGAAACCAAATAATACTTGAGCGAAAAAGAGAATTAATGCTGATCCATATTCGGATTGTTTTACTTTGGCTGAGGTTTGCGTTCTGCTGGGTACCATTCAGGCTGACACATAGAGAGTGTACAAACATAACAGCACCAGTCTTAACAGATAACTAGGGCTGTAATCAGATGCTAGAAATTGCATTAACTACTTTAGTTTGAAGGTGTGGATTCAGTTTACACTGGGTATAGTAAAGGGGAAGAGGAAACCATAAAACGACTTAAAACTTTTCTTATTAGGAACGTGCCTCATACGTAAGTGCAAGAAAATATTTAGAAGTGTCAGAATTATTTTGCTATAAAACTAAAATGTGACGTTTCGCACCCATCAACAAGTTTAACGTATGGCCAAAAACATATCGCTAGCTGGAACATCCTTACGCCAGAGGCTAAGCAGTAGCGTGTTCGTTTCGCTACCATGTTGAGGCAGTTCCACTTCCTCTCCTTCACCTAATGTGTTCCGTGTGGGAACTCAGAAGTCCTCCACCAAGCAAACATTCCTTACCGAAAAATCTGAATGCATATTCCAACTAACAACTGTTTCCAGGTGCATGAAAGTCCTCCACCAAGCAAACATTCCTTACCGAAAAATCTGAATGCATATTCCAACTAACAACTGTTTCCAGGTGCATGAAAACGCCAATATTGGAAAACTGGCTATGAGGTCAAAGAGGTGTTTGTGTTACCGTCTAAACAACAGAACTGGTTACCACATACAACGCCGTGTTAGCGAACAACTAGTGCATGCATACATTTATCTATTAAGACACCTTGGAATGCTTTTAAAATTTCCTCCCCCCCAAAATGCAGCATGTGAAACCAAAATAAAATGTGGCCCCCTAAGTGGAAGAAAGTCTGTCATTATATTTGAGTCTTCTACTTTCATGTCACCAGACGTCATGACTCTATTTTGACCGATGTGGCCGAACCTTTGCGACCAAAGATTCAGAAGTGTCACGTGATACCGCCAGCCAAGACTTCAAGGTGGAAGAACCGTACATGGCACGCTGCTTCTTTAAAAAGACGACAAGCATAAACAAGAGGCAAGGAGGTGTCCGTGTCTCACAGATGGCAGATTCTTAAATGTTTAATCCATGAATTGATCCGAGGTGCTAATTGTTGGCCGCAGGGACACGCAGCACCAGCTCCTGTTACACCGGCGACTACGGTGTTTGTCTGAGACCGTTTTCTGCTTTCAGCACCTGATTAATTTTATTATCCAAGCTCGCATGCCCAAAATTGGAATCTAGCATAGCCGTGTTCTACTGTAAAAGTTAATGGCAGCCAAAAAGGGACATTGCTGAGTCATGTTTTAATGCTGGTCTGGATGGAGGGAATCGCAATAAGATGCAACTTCACACTTGAGGTGCAAAGAATTTCATTTGTTGTAATGACAGGCAGCCTCATTGGCCGTGCGCTCAACCAGGCAATTTCACACGGAGAAAATTGCAGTAGAGTCATAACAGCAGATATGGAAACACAGAACCCAGGAAAGGTGGGTGCACTTTCACACCAGAACACGACATCCGCCAATCACATATGAGATGACCTCAGTGTTCAAGGAAAATATGACGCATTAAATACTTTTTTACAGCACAACTGGGGACATGTTCGGGTGTTAAACTTCTAATAATATTTTTGGAAATACATTTATAGATGCTATGTTTCATAGTTTTCACATTATTAGTAATTCGCCCTGCCTGCTATGCTGTTTTTATTGCGGGGACTATTGGAACACTGAATTTCCCATGTGGATGAATAAAGTACACTGGTGCCTTGACATATGAGTGAGCCCACTTGTGAATTTTTTGAGATAAGAGCTGTCAATTGGATGTTTTTTTTTTTTTTTTTGGCTTTGTCTTGCAAGTTCAAACTTGAGATAAGAACAACTCAGCTCACATCAAATTAGCAACACCATACAATGAAATACAACTTGATTAATTAAGATTGCGCTTTTCACAACAGCTGCAGTTGTAACAAAGCACACATAAAATAACAATAATACTGTACAACTATATGAAAACAGTAGGAAACCAGGAAACAATAGAACAGCGTCAGTCTCATGTTGGGTCGAAAGTGGAAGAATATGTGTTGTTACGTGCTGGTGAGAGATTTGCAGTGTAAAATATGTGCATTGGCTCATTACAAAGTTGGGAAAAAACATATTCAACTCGTACTATCACCACCACTGCTTGGCCAGAGCGGAAATCTTCTTGTCCCTCTTCAGACAGCAACCTACTACTCGACCAAAATCAAAGTCGTGGCACGCTCCATTCCGCCACAAGTGCTTGGAGACATGATTAATCAATTTCACACACTCTTTACGATTCATCGATTACAACAGCCCATCTTCCGCCGGCAATAAAACATTCAAGCAATCAGCCTGTGTCCGGCCCCTTGAACAAAAAGTGCAAACGTTACTGGCTGTATCAGTGTGGGGCACATGCAGGCTTATCAGCTGGATAAGAACCACACGGGAGGCCTGAGTTATGTTGTCCACAGGCATCTCAGACTGGACCTGGTGGCACCAAGTATGCAGGCGGATGGGGTCACATCACACAAGAGAGGCACTCAGTACAGTATTTAGTAATTGACACATTTGTATACAGGGGCGGTATGGGTGTGCTGGGACAATTAAACCACAGACGCTTAAGTGATTAATCGCTTAGTGCATTAGCCCAGAATCACCGGGCATTGTTTCATTGCCTTTGACTCAACCGCCATTTTAGGAGCTGAACAGATGTGGTCCAAGTGTGGCCTGTGGGCCACATCGAACCTGCTGCGTTTTTTTAATCTGAGCCCTGAGCATTTTTTTTTAAACTGTTGTAATGACTTCATGTTTTAAAAACACAAAAAAATTGGCATTTGAACTGGGGTGTGTTGACTTTTTATCCACTGTACTTTATATCCCATCGATGCTGTGTTATGTTTCTAAGCTCTCGATGTGTCACCTGAGTGTTTTAGACCGTTTTAATGTTTTTACAATAAACAGTGGTTTATGTCTTTTTCACTTATGTACGAACATAAAGAATATTAGAAAAATTTGCCCGTACCAGAAGTCAGAGGTTTTACGGTGGCCACAGCTAAACCAGGGAACAAATTACTTCTCTTCCCATTTTTTCATTCTGGGAAAAGTAAAACAGGACTTGGGCCAGCGTCTGCTGGAAGTTCCTTAATTTGGACCAGCTCAACAACAACCGACTATAGAGCACAGTTCACGTGAGAAGCTCTCCCTGGCTATGCTGACTTCCTGGATCCATATAAAGCAGCTCAACAACGGAGGTACACCAACATAGGGGAACAAATAGGGGAGGGAACTTTCCCCTTATTGGACGTCCACAAAGGGGGCTCAGGTTTCTGCTTTGGGTTTGCGGAAGTCAAGTCTGTAGAGAGCATGTCAAAATTATGAGACGGGACGCTCGGGTTGGACTTGGAGAGAGAAACAGCGACAGAGCGATAGAGAAGGAGAGACAGAACAAGAAAAGTGGGTGTGGAAAAGAAATAAGTACATGCCTTTGTCTCACATGTCCAAATATAGCGTAGACGAAACCCGGGGCGGAAAACTGCATTCAAGACGTACGCCCACCTTCACCCTCCTCGCCTTTGCTTGCGAGGACACAAATCATGCTGCGATGGCTCGCAGATTTTCAGCAACTTGTAACCTCAAATCACAGAGAGATGAATTTATGCAGTGCAATGCAAAGAGAAGCAGCACAAAAAAAGGCTCTTTTAGTCCAAAAAAACAAGCCCGAGTCGTAAACAAGCACACACTTCGAAGCTCTTGGGCTGGATTTATATCCACGTGGTTCAAGTGACACAACTGCAGTTTTTGGTCTCAAGTGGTGAAAATCAGCTATGCGCAATGGCAGCATAAAGAAGGAAAAAGAAAACTGAGACGGAACCGGACATTTTCAGGTCACAATGTCCTCTTTCAAATGTGGGTATAAACTCGATAATGTAAGGAATTTCCAACAACATAACACACCCGTGCCTACCCAAACACACATATAAACAGCAAAAAAACAACCTTTGTGAAACTACAAAAGAAAATCGAGAGACAAACTTCACAAAATAACCCGGGTGACGAACGATTCCCTTTACAAACAAAATGTGCCATGATTAATTGTCTCCATTTACAAACCAGTCCTAGCATGGAAACAGAAAGCTCAGTCGTGCTCTGTTACACACCATGTAAACATCGTTCCATGCATCACATGTTACACCGGCTATCTTTTTTTTGGGGCTCCAAATTAAAATCAAAATTTAAAAAATACAGTCCGCTCATGATTGTGTTTGCAAAGCTACATGTTGTTATTTTGGGCATCGCAACTGATGTGCACTGCTTCCACAAACAACATGGTTGCAAACAGAGAGAAGCTTGCTTACAAAAGCAGTCCATGTTCATGTCAACTCAGCAATTTGGTGACAAATTTTCCAATCTCTCTTAAGTCTACTTATAAAAAAAAAAAAAAAAAAGTCAAAATAGTGACCAGCGAGTGTAATTCCTCTTTAGAAACAGACATGAGAATAATTTTCCCCACATACTAATCGACAATAAAACAGATATAAATTTGTTTTATAAAGTGAAATCAAGCTAAAGGTCACATCCACACACTGCCACATTTGAAATGTGATTTAAATAGATTTCAGTAGTCTTACTTCATTTTAGCAGTTTCAACTTGTTTTTTTTTTACAGTTGTATGAAAATTAAGTTAAAAAGGTGACTTCAAACATTGTCTGTATATTTGCTGAAGGTTTTATGATGGCTACAATGTAAACCTGGAATCCATTTTTTCTTTTCCCATGACTTCCTATGAGAATACTTGCTAGTCAACTTGACCTCTCCTGCGGTGCAGCACCTGTGGTAAAACAATACATCTTGTCACTCAGCCAAGGGCGACCACGCTCTCACTTGTACTATACTGTAACACGGGGGCCACGAGGCGGCGTTTGACGTATTGACTAACATGCCGTCCTACTATATATATATACACACTGTGCATGTGACTTACTGTACACGTGCCTGAGGCGGCATCGTAAAACAGTTTCAACTACAGGATCTACTACGAGCACAAAAATGATCAACTTGGTTATATTCCCTTGAAATAAAATCTCAATTATGCTTGATTGCAAAATAGTCTGTGTGGAAACCCAAATAATTACACCAACCATATTACATAAATGTAGCTGCAGAGGGTTATCATCATTGTTATAGCTTGAACGGAAAAAAATGTAGCAAGCTTTCACCAGGCTGCATAAAATGGCACGGAAGGCCAGAGATGGCCTGCGGACCACACTTTGCCCACCGCAACTCTGCATGCACATGACTTGAAGGCCCGTGAGACTTGCTGAAATACGACCTCTGCACATGCTGCGTGAAATGTACTGCATGCATGTTCGAGAGTGGGTGGATCACGTGCCTAGTGTGTCAAGTATGGAGTGGAGTGGGCGGACTCGGTCGCATTGGCTGCACGTTGTGTACATATGCAGCAGAGCTGGCCCAAGGCATGAGCCAACCAAGCACCTGCTTAAAGCCCCACGACCACAAAGCCTGGACCATTGAGGAAGTTCAGAATAACATTAAACTGAATGTTTTAATATAGTTGTTAAAGTCTAATGAGTACATTTTATATCTGTTTTTTTTTAACTATATAACTCGTGGTACATGTAAGAATCACTAAATGTAAAAAAATATACAAACAAAATAAACAAAGTAGAATATACAGTATGCAAAACATGAAACGTATCAGAAAGAAAAGTCTGTGTTCACAATTTGTTGTCCTTGTACATTCCAAAAGTACAATATCAGTTAGTACATAAAAAGTGAATACTCTGAATTGGTGTCGGTCTGGGAAAAAAATTGTACATGACATCCCTTTTTAAAAATACGTTTATCATGACAATTTGGACTCCCACACTCCCTTCTCGCGCATTGGACTAGTCCAACTTGGTATTGCACAAGTAAAAACAAACGAGTTGGTGCTTGGCGAGGAAAATGAGTTTTCCCAGTGGAGCAGAGAAGAGGAGAAAGCAAGTGCAAAACAAACAACTTTTACAAAACGACAAAAGGTTTAAAGTTTTATCGGGGTGACACCAACGGACAACAGCACAAGCCAGATACTTTTTGCCGTCGCTGGAGCACTGCTGTCAGAGTCATCCGAGATGAAGTGGACGGTGACAAAGTGATGCTTTTCACCTCGAATTTTAAAGCTGACAAATGTGTCATTTTAATAAAAGATGCCACTCTAAATTACAGTAAAGCGTGTAGATGATTAGTTTGTTAGACATTCATTCATAGAGATTTGAAGGACTTTATCGAAATCAGCAAATGAGAGAATCGTCCCAAATGTACTCTTTTTAGTTAACGATAAACACGTATATTTATTGCAAAATATTTGCAACGTGCGGATATGGAGGGCCCCTTGCTTGGGTTGGCCTTGGGCCCTTAAATGCTTAAAATATGCACCCCAAAACACAAACTTTCTCTTACCCAACGATCCCTTCCGAGTAGTTCCTGCTTTTCCACGGCGTGCCCGCGTACACGTCGCGGCCCTCCGTGCCCGGGCTACCGTTCAAGAGACTGGAGTTGAATCCGAAGGTGCTCGCCTTGTTGTCCCGTTTCCGCTTATTGGGGTGCCCGTCCGCCGGGCCCCTGCTGCTCGGCGGGGTCGCTCGATGGTTGCGGTTGCCGGTCTCCAGCGGCAAAAAGTCCCGCTGCTCCATGATCTCGCCGTCCCCGGTTGGACTCGTCATGATCGACTCTGACGGCCCGGTCCCAGCAGCGAGGAGGACGGCTCCTGACGCCGCGTTGAGGCTCGCTTTCAGGATGCCGAAGCTGTTGTTGACGTGCAGATAGCCGAGCCCTTGCGTCGTCTCCCAGATCTGCATCCACAGGTTGTTGGCGGGTCCACGTTGTTCTGGTTGGAACCAGGAGATTCGCGGATCCATCAAACGAGAGTAGACAAGAATCACACCCCCCCTTCCCCCACCCCTCCTCCTCCCCTCCCTCCCGTGAACAGCTAGCCAAGCTAGCCTTAGCTCGCCTCGCTTTGCCCCCCAATTACTTCTTCCAATTTAGTTCCTTGGAGGTGGCGGAGACACACGGCGATAGAGCACAGGAAGGCGACGAGAGTACCGAGAGACAGTTACCGGTACCTGTTACGGCTGTTATCCCTTTTTTATCACCCCAGGGGGGAACACGAGACTGAACGGTTCCGACGTAGAGCCTCTCTCTCTCTCCCTGACCCTTCCCTCGGAATCGTAACTCCCTCAATGGCGGAGCTTGGCCGAGCTGCTGAGTAGTGCACATGCG